GCATCCTGTGGGGACTCATGTCTCCGTTTTCCCCGACCAATTGGCACAGCAGCAGCAGCAGCGGCAGCTGCGGCAGGCATTGGGTGGTCTGGCTCAGGCTGGGGCTGAGGCGGGGCATCACGCATTTGGTCGTCTGTGTCGGGCTGAATGTTGGGCAGGGGAGGGAGGTATGGGGGAGGCATCGGTATGTTTTCGGGAATCACTGGTGGCGGAGGGGCATTCGGGTGGAGGAGCGGTCCGTGTTCGCCCGGCGAAGGGACGATTGGTGGCAGTATTGCACGGCCGCCCGCTTGCAATGCAGGAGGCGGTGGAGGGGGGGCAGGTGCTGCTGCTGCTGCAGCTGCTGCAGGTGGAGAACCTCTCGCCCTTCCTGCAGCCTGACGATTCCTCGGACCTCTCACCCGCAGTAAGGGCTCGCCTCGACGATTTAAACCGTCCAGACGTGGCGGGAGTCCAAGCTCACTTCGCCAGTCTTCAGCCTGTTCCCGCCTGTTCATATCAAACCTGAGTTATCTGTCAAATCACAACAGAGAGAGCAGCAGAGCCGATATCGGTATTGGTGATACAAAATTGAGTGAAGGGCATCTCGCCAACCAGAGTGAGTGAGCTGATGATGATGGCGGTGGATTGATAGCCCTTTGAGTGACGGTTCAGATGCACCGGGTGCGGTCCGTGTCTGTCAAGTCACTGCAGAGAAAGCAGTGGGTCAGATAGGTATTGGTGATACGCGAATTGAGTGAGGGATATCTCGCCAACCAGAGTGAGTGAGTTGATGATTGGACTGGATTGATTGCCCTTTGAGTGACGGTTCGGATGCGCCTAGTGCGGTCCGGCGCGGTGCTTTGGTTGCTGAGAACGGAGTGCTGTCAGAAGGGTGCCAATTGTGAAAGAACGTGACCGAGCGAGGAGCTGCTGCTTTGTGTGTGAGAGGCTCTCACCAGGCCGGTTCACATTGGTGTCACACAATCTGGGTGGGCTGCTTCTCTGCAATTTCATTATATGGGGGTCACATGCGAAATGGGGCCTGCATGTCGAGATTCTCGACGTTTGCGAGTGGACCCCCGGTGTGTATACCCGATTGAATCACACCATCTGCGCGGTTATTTTTTACTTCTGTCGGAAAGGATCTGAGCTACCCCCTAACCACCGATACGGGGGCAGCCAGTCGCGAGTAGCGGTCACAGCGCTTGTCGAGGGACTCATCAAAAAGACCAACCGCCGCCGATCAGACCAGGGAACCGCACGTCGCATAGCGAAACACAGAGCTGTCAACAAGCATAGAAGCGCAAATCGATCACGAGCCACATCACAGGGGACGCGGAAAAGGGGAGCGAATAAAAGCACCAGCATCGTGTTCCCATTACCTACCGCAACGATGTACGATGAAACGGAGTGTTAAGAAACTACTCCGTTCACACGTAGGCGCCCATGCCATCACGTGATGTCTCCGAAGCGGCCTGATCGGGTCCCGGCGAACCAGTAACGATAAAGCGCCAAGCAAAGCGCCGGCAGCACGAGACATCGAAGACATAGACGGAAAGACAGACAGACAGACAGACAGACAGAGAGACAGACAGACAGACGGACAGAGAATGATTCTGAGGCATACGGTGACTCAGCTCTCCTCCCTCGCTTCGTCACCGTGATGCAGCCTTCGCCTGCACTGTACCGGTTTACTGTTGGCATTTGGGAGCGCGCACGTCGCGCTGTCGGGCTCGAGACCGGATGGCTCTCTCCCATTTGACTCGGTACAGGCAGGCTCAGATCAGGACAGGCAGGACAGGCAGGATCAGCAGCGACGGGATGTCCGGGCTCGACGAGCGAGCCCGGACCCATGGGTAGCGGAGTCGAGAGTATTGCTTTGTTTTTTCCCAGGTCCGTGAAACCGAGTGCTGTCCAATCTCGGCGTCCGTGACGCCATATATGCACGACGTGGTGCGGCGAAAAGCTGGTGCTTCGGCCGACGAGCGGGCCCTCCACTCAGAAAGCTGGCCAGACACTCAGAAAGCCAGCCAGCGCCACGGAAAGCCAGCAGGCAGAAGGCCAGCTTTCCAAGCGGAAATCCAGCTTTCCAAGCGGAGATCCAGCTTTCCAAGCGGAAATCCAGCTTAAAGCTGAATGGAAAGCCAGCTTTCCAGGCGGAAAGCTGACCCGAAAACGGCAGTTTCGGACAAGCAGAAGGACCGGAGGAGCTCCCTCGTTCATTGAAGCCGGCCTTTCTTTGTTTTTTTACCGCAAAGAAATACGACGGTCACCGTGGTGACGAAGGACGATGACAGCACCATTGCAAAAAGTCCCATACTCGGAAAGACGGGACGCCCACAGGCCCCCAGGGTTGTCTCAGCGACTATTGATTCATGCACGAGAAGGTCTTTTTTGTCTGCTGACATTGCACTGTACAAGAAACGGACTCAGTCTCTCTCACCCGAGTCGCCTCATGCACCGCACCCGGACGGCCAGGATGGGATGGATGCCACCCCTCGCAACAATACCAGAATGAATGCCCCTCCCTCCCTGCTACGGTAGGAACGCCTCTAATCCGTAGAGGCCTCACACACACCTACAGGCACGTCCACGCACAGCACATGGTGTGGATGTGAGTGTGAGTGTGAATCCCTCCCCTCCCCTTCTCTCCCCAAGCATCCCCCTTCACATACATACACCCATGGTACATCGGCACACAACATGC